ATATTAGATAAATATTTTTTGATTATGTAATCCGTACATGCACATGTATTACATTTTCATTGGCTATGTTGGATTTTATACATACTCATAAATATAAAATAATAGAGCTGTATTTTTTATGAAGGCACAATATAACTAGAATTTAGCAAAATTATTAAATAACATCAATAGAATTTATATAATTTTGATAAATTCAATTTTTTAAGGATTTTACATCAATTATAGCATTTATTCGCTTTTAGGAGAACTAACTATCACATATCTAATATATTCTAATATATTCTAATATATTCTAATCATTCAAATTTTAATTCAGTAAAATATACTAAAATGATTTCAATTATATATTGATTTCAATTCCTGATGAATTAAAAAGGAAAAATATAAGTTTGTATACATTAAATATATATAGTCCCAATTGAAAATTTATAAGAAATATATAAAGAATTCTGTTTTGATTAATTGTATGTATTATACATACATACATATAATATACGTTACATAATTTTTTGATAACCATTGATCAATTAGTTCGTTCATATTTCCTTTCTCAGTGGAAAAAAGGCCTGACAAGGTAAAGCTTTTCTCACTTTCAATCATCCAAATCTAAGGAATATGCAGATTTTCTATTTTAAATGAATTAATTGTCTGTACAATGTTAATTGAGCATTAATACATTCACAGTTTATTCAAAATTAAATATCATGAATGAAAAGGTTTAAATAAAATTATGAATGAAAATGTTTTTAAAAAAATTAAATATCCACCTAAAGAATCTTATGGTCTCTCAAATGATATTCATGTTTTCGAATATAGACTGCGTCGAAAATCATTGCCTAAATAATATTTGTATTCTAATGAGATAACTGCTCAAATATTGATAAGGAATCATTGTAGAATAAATTACAAGAATGACTAAATATATGTGCCTTATATACGCGAGCAAACAAATTATATATTCTGTAAAACAGAATAGACTATTTGTATAAAATGGGCAAAATGGCATAATCATACTAATAGTAAATTGTATGTGAATAAGAATAGATATGTATGTATATACATTTTAATACTAGAAGGACTGGATTTGATGACTTCCCTAGAAGAACCCAATAAAATCTTTTTCAGTAGAAGTCAATTTTGTTCCACATTTTTTTCGTAAATAAATCAAATTAAATGTATAAATTAATTATTATATTTAACGTTTTAACAATGATATAACTATAATTTATTGAGCATTTAAATTCGTAAACTTATAAATAAAATCGTAAAACATACGACCAGATATAAGCAGAGAGCCAAATTGGCTGCAATGGTTTTTCTAGATAGACAAATAAAAATTCAACTATCTTATATGTATAATTGAAAATTTTTTAAATAAAAATTAAGAAACAGAACATGAAAAATGATAAAAATTACAAAAGGATATCATGTGAAAGTAAAGTTGAAAAAAGTTATAGCAATTTGCATTTCGCCAGGAGTCAAATTATTGGTTGCCTCGGTCTTTCTAGTGTTAAAGGCATTTATAGAAAAAAAATAACAAATCTTTGAATAGCAACTTTATTCCAACAGATTTGATAAAACGGCGTTGTAAATCGCTTTTAAGTATAACTTGCAATTAGTTTATAAACTGTTAGCGGAGATAGGAAAGATTAGCACTCTCGTGCTGTACATTTTATTCGTCATTTCTAAAGGACCCTGCATTAATTATTAAAAAATTAGGTCCCGATGAAGTGAGTTAATTTTTACATATATTGTAACTTAAAATGGTGAACAAAAAATGTCATGTATACATGGTCTAAGTAACAGATAATTCTCGAGTGATAGAGTATTAAAGGTGCTCTGTGAACATCCAGATAACAACGTGTTTTAATTATTACTTATATATTACTCACTCTAAAAAAAAGTAGTTGATTCCAAATTGCAGCAACTGAGTTTACATTTATTAGCCAATTGATGCCTTCATGATGTGACAACTTTTTTTTTAGTAGCAACTTGTCAACAAGTTGTCGACTTTAAAATCGTTATCATCAAAATTCGTGTTATTGCCGTCATGTTTTCAATAATAATCTATTATAGGATCATGAGAGCTTGGCGTTTTGCTGATAACTTGGATGCTGTTATCTTGCTGTTAAACTACTAGTAATATATGTTTACTAAAATTTTTAGAGAATAGAAAAGTATTATTGAAAAGTAAAATCTCAATCTTAAAGATTGAAAATTGAGCCATTCTTTTTCAAGAGTAATTGCCTGCGTATAGTTACAATGTCAGTATATTCGAATCATTGACAAATACATAGCCAGTTATCAACATCGTATAATTACAAGATTTACGATTTTGTTAAGACATTAGTTATCTATTAGTTATCTATTAGTTTTACACCTTTGATATACTATAGTTCAAGAACTATCCATTATTTGAGTGTGTATATAATACTTTTTTTTCATTACATTATAAATATATAATACAACATATGTGAAAACTAACTCATTTTACCGGGATCCAATTTTTCATACAATTAGTGCAGAGTCCTTTCTAAACACAAAATGTGTTGTACACTTGTATGGTAAAAAAAAGACACAATATACATATGCCTGCCGTCAAACTACTGTTACTACGGCAAATAGGCCAAAAGTATTATTAATATGCGTCAAATTACAACAGTTTCTCATGTATTTGTAAATATTTTACTTATATTTAATTTTTATCCCTCACTTTATTTTTTAAAAGCTTTACTTTTGAAAATCTTGTACAGATATTACTTCTTGGCGCCATATTAAAGTCAATCATTTGAGTAATTAATTGGGTCTCTTATTAATCTAAATACATTTTATGATTCGTTCATTCATGATGAACATTCATGATGAACATTCATGATGAACGTTTACAGTTGCGCGAATCTTTATGATTAAATGTTAATCTAAGTTTTGCAAAGAGACATATTTCGAATTTTTTATATTTATTTGGCACGTACAAGTCCAACATAATGACTGTATGTACAAACACTTCTGTGAATAGTCGATTAAAAAATGCATAAAAAACTGTTTATACACAATAGATAGAATATTGCTGGGTCTTGAAAAAAGAAACTCGAAGAAGCTCATAATCAAGACTTTCGTTTCTGCGGGAATATTTGGACGCAAATATTTTTTCCCTTCAAAAATATTGACGTAAATTAAAAGCGAAAAAACAAGTCATAATATTTAATATTTAGTCTGTTTTCTGTACTAGACTGCACTAGAACTCTCTTTCTCGCTTTCGATAAATATCAAACATACATCTATCTCACTTTAAGTTCCAAAAGTGTATACTAATTCAGCCACAGAAAACAGACCTATTATTTTCGTTGTTCATATGTACACATTCCATCGATTCTTCAATTATTTAACAATAACAATTGCATACATTATTGAGCAATTTCTTTTCTTCATTTCTTTATCAAAGTTAATGAAACAGAGTACTCTGTTATGAGCTTCCAATGTTCAACGGGTAAATTTTGCAAACTTTATCAATTCGAAAAACGTGAATAAGAATAACATTGTAACAATTCCATATTTATCTTAATAATTTTAATTTGGCATAATGATATAAATATAAATTTGTAAGAAAATTTCAAGATCTTTAAAAAATATCTCTTTGATGTGAAATAGATTTTAAAAAATCATGTCTTTTTTATATAAATATCGAAATTAGTACTTTTGTATCCGATATTCATTTCTTCTTCACTGGAAAAGGAACAAGTAATTAAATAAAAAATGGAAATTTTGTTTAAAGATCTTGAAACTTTCTTTCTCTTTAGAGTCTTACGTATTTTTATTACAAAAATTGAAAAATGACTAAAAAAACTTCCACGCGTGCTGTTTAAACTCTATGCTTTTTCTGGTAACATTTGCTTGTGCATTCTTCTTGCTGTTTAGGCAATAAAATTACACTTTGATTTTCCTAATGCAACAAAAAAATCATTGCGACGTCTCCAGGAAAATCGGAAAAAATCACGTCGATTCGTGCACCTCTTCTCAAGCAAAAAAAAATACAGATCTCTTTCGATTTTTTATGATAACATATTCTGTGGTCAACCTTCAGCGAGCGGTGGTGTCACCCAACCGTATTTCTCGTGTGTTCTCACCAGATTTTTGAATGTTTCCTCGGCCAATTGCCGATTGTACTCCTTGTTCGGCTTTGGCACCCTTGCCACTTGTGCCTGTTGAAATAAAAGCTTCACATAAATCTATAAGGAAACCAGTACATATGAATACATGAGTGACCAATTTTTTTTTAAATTTAATCTTTGTTTTCTTTATAATAATAAACGATTTAAGATGAAAATAAAATTAAATTTCTTAAAATTGAAAATAAGACTATACAAGCATGAAAACGTTAGTATTTATGCTTGTATAGTCTTATTTTAAATACTAACGTTTTCCATGTGTATATAATATTGTATAATTGTGATGTATTGTACGATATTGTATTAGGTGTTGAAATTAATTCGTAGCGTTTTACAAGTGATGGGAAGTACTTTCATTAATGTATTTTTTAATGCTCATGTGAAATAAATAACATTCTTTCATTAAAAAACGCTACGAATTAATTCCAACACCTAATATTAAGATAATATGATATATAATACTATATAGTATTATATATTACATGTATCACAATTACGTACATTATCGTGATGATACATTTTCATGATACAAATATCTGAAATCATTAATTATTTGATGCAGATTCAAAACAATGCTTACCTGCCCCTTCACAACACTAGCTGCAAACTGCATGATCATCGACTCGACGCTATACGCGCAGCACCATCCTCTCGGCGTAAGGAGTTCCATACAGATAGCACCGCCATGCATTACAAAACCCTGATCGATTCTCGGTGAGATTACCCTCATAAAAGGTGGCGCAAATGGAAACTCCTTCGGAAAAATTACATGCAGCAATATGTGAGGTATCTTTAACTCGCGCATATCGGCTGCTAGCTTGCTGTCTGGATCAATTTTATGCAATCGAACAAACCACTCAAAAACATTATCATTGACGAGCTCCACGGTGAAGGCAGAGTCGCAGCGTTGTGTTCTTTGGATCCTGTTAAACTCTTTCATTAGGCGACGCAGACCGATGTCCTTGTCGTAGACGGCTTTGCATTCGTTGTTATCCTGTATGAGTAAAGCCTGGTTTGAAATTCTCAGGCTATCTCAGGATATCCAAAATCTGATTACAGAATTATGGATACAGAAGCTATTCTATCATGCTTATTTATTGAAAAACAGTGATTAGATCTCCCTTTTGTGATCTTTTCTAATTGATCAATTGAGAATTTCACACACCTTTACAGACTTTTTTGCCTTGAAGAAACAACTGCGATCAGCATGAGTGGAATCTGGATTTTCCAATATCGGTCCATCCATTGGAGTCACAGCATCTGGACGGTGGTGGCGATTTAGGAGTCTCCTTGATGGAGAATTGGTTGAGCTACTGGCTCCCTCCGGTTCAGCTATCTTATCGGAAGATCGAAAGAGCTTTCGGATGGCAGCTACTACTTTTTCCTTGGATTTCGTAGACATGATGAAAGTATTGTGTCGCTTTTTTATGAAGTCTCGCTACTCTATATTTAAAACATTTTTATTTGTGACACATTTCCAAAACTGTATCATGCATGAAATTATAATGGTCTAGTTTTTTATATTAGGTGTTGGAATTAATTCGTAGCGTTTTTAATGAAAGAATGTTATTTATTTCACATGAGCATTAAAAAATACATTAATGAAAGTACTTCCCATCACTTGTAAAACGCTACGAATTAATTCCAACACCTAATATGTTTAGACTACTTTAAAGAAAAAGAATCAAACAATTTGTATACAAAAGAAAAAAATTAAAGGCATTATAGAAAAAATTATATCAATAAAGTATAAATTGTTTGCATTATAATAGAAAATCAATACAAATGAAAGAATATGTTTTAGATTTTTAGAAAAGTTTCTTAGTGAGGTACATAAATTCATATCATAAAAAGTGATTCCTTCAATTCGTTATAATAATATTAATTATACTAACAACGTATTAATTATATCAACACTGGAATTCATTTTAATTAAAACATTATCATACATTCGGATCATATATAATATACATAATAACATATTTTTAGAAAGAATTTAAAGATACCTTATGAATGTCGGTAAGTTCCTATTTGAATTTTTAATTTTTCGAAATAGAAAACTTTTTTAAATGTTTCTAAAATGATTTTTCAAATGTTTGTAGAATTTTACACTCTGATTTTTCGACAATTGATCGAAAAAAATTCCTATCTATAAATTCCTGTTAAATCAATCTTGCTTAAGTTATAAAATTATCTATTTTTATTAGAAAATTCAACAATGACACAGAATTTTTAAGTCGTACAAAGGGTGTGGAGCAGAGACCTTTCTATGAAATTTTTGTCCATGCAGAACAAATTGAATACTATCCAATTTACTAACTTGTAATCCAATATCGGGCTTACCCATTCTATTCGGTCCTACATCGCATACGATTGACAGATTGTCAACATGCGATTATTGTGTACTACATAAATACACTCAAGAACGGTGAAGATGCGACCACTGAACAGGAGCAGTCTCCACCCTCGTTAAACCACCAATCGACGTCAGCCACGAAAACGACTGAAGGGATAGACGCCGACGTCAACGACGATATCGGCGCTACCGTCGTGAATGGCATAGTTGGCTTCCTTTATCGATCCAATTTACATGACCGATAAGACGATAGCGCGACTGATAGCGCAAACTACGCGTGCAAGTGGCAAACAATAGTTGTTTTTTTCCATCGATAAGTTGAAGTCACCAATAACTTTTTACTTAGAACAGAAACAAAGTGAAAATTTTTATTTTTTAGTATAATTTGTATATATATGTGTATGTACATAAATAAAAATTTTCACATTTCCACTCTAGAGAAAAAATTACATGACCAATATAGAGAAATTTTATCAGATTAAAGATATAGATAAATATCTATGAATATTTTCTAACATTATTTCCATTAGAAAACTTCAAGATTTAATTTTTTTCAATAAGTAATAACTGTATTCCAAATGTTTACCAAAAAAATACCCGCAAATTCGTTGACAAATATATTATTAAAATTGAAGGCAATTAATGAGAATGGAACGTTTTACCGTGAGAAATAAAAGGAAAATTTATGGATGTTTGTACATACAAAATAAGTTTTCTGTTTATTTTTATGTATTCACCCACGGCCTTATAATATACGTGTTCAGGTATCTATTGGTGAAGAGAAACACCAGGATATGTTTAGCCACATATGCGAACACAAGTAGACACGACAGATATTGAATCCACGCCCATTTCAATTCTTCCCACACACTCGGCTGATAGTAAATAAAATTTTCCACATAAAACAATTCGCCGATAATGACTACCGCTTCATCGTTAGAAAAACCTGTTCTCCACGTTACTCGCTTGTTCGTAATTCTGGCAGAGACTATAAAATAAATATACTGTTAATAATTCCACGTGTTTATGATAAATTCCCGGAAAAAAAATATATATGTTTCAAATATAATTATATATATAATCAAATACAATTATATAAAATTAAATAAAATTAAATAAAATTATATGTAATTATATAAAAAATTGATTTTTATATATAATTATATAATATATACGTCCATACATATAACATTTTTTCCCGGGTTGTTGACAAAATTTTTTCAAAAATACGAGCAATACATACACTTTCGGTTAAAACTATGCAATAGCAGTTCAGATAGAGAATAATCAGATAGTTCTATGCTGTGGTTGTATGTTTCGTAAAGACCTTCGCTACGCAAAAGTCCCTTTTGCCGTAACTCCAGATCACCGAAGAATCTTATCTCTTGAACCTCGTGATTTAATATTTGATTAAACACGCCTATAGATTCTATAGTCGCTTGAATAAGATGCTGTAAATAAAGAAAATCCATTAAAACTTTGAGGAGCAAATTTATGAACCACACAAATCAACCTTTAATTGAAAATTGAAGAAGAGTAAAAGTCGTAGAGATTTCACTGGCTTGTCTGTATAAAAATGAGCTTCAAATCTTAATGAATCTTTCTGTCCATCATTGTTCAGATCGTTCTCCCGTACCTAAATAAAAAAGTATAGAAATAATAAATATAAATAACTAACACTAATAATAAATAAGAATTGTATTAACTTTGCATACACAATTTTTGTTATTAGAAACAGAACGAAAATTTAAGAAAAAAATTGAAATCAAAGAACTTGCGTTTAATATTAAATATAAAACATGATCAATAATCGAATAAAATATTGACATAAATAATTGGTGAAAAGTCAAATTTTGTATTTCTTAACATATTCAAATAAACAACAACCTTGATTATTGTACAATGATCTTTAATATCATTCTCCTTATATGTCGTAAAAGTGGAACACACAATAGGTTCCTCAAAGGAATCTATTTCCGCAAGTAATAGATACTTATATATAAAGTGCACATCAGGCATTTCTGCATGCATCCGATTTTTCATCCAAATACCTGAAATTAAAAAAAATTAAATAATAAACTGTCCTAAATCACCGAGTGTATCTAAAGTCAATGATATAAAAATTGGATTAATTTTTACCTCCTGTATTGTAGATTATAAAAAGTGGCGTGATCAAGGATAAAACAATGAATAAAAAGACAACGATCGAGGCGAAAGAATATATCCTACTCTTGTACTTGTAAGTGACAGAACTTGAAAATATTTCGATCGCTGCCATTGTGATGCTACGTTCGTTACCGCGGCAACGTCCACAAGTAAGAAATATTTAAAGATATCAGGTTGACTGTAATCCTATATATATATATCCTATATATATTAATTGTGCGTGTAAAAGCAGTAATTGCGATCGAGTTAATCTCGGTATACGCGTGCGTGAATAAATGAGAGGTGAAATCGGAATTCGTCTTTCGTTGATCTTCCTTTTTTTCGTTGGACTATGATGAGCTTAGAGATACGCGTATAGAGATAGGAGATATAATTAGAGTAATTACTATTAGAATATTGGTAGAAGACCTTTTTTCGTATTATTGTTTAAGTTTATTATTACATAGTTTGATATCAGATTTAAAAACAATATTGTTCCTAGTCTCGGAGTTTTCTGTATCTGTTTTTCATTCTTGATTGCTCAATTAAACATTGTATCATATCATATTTATAGAATTAATATTTAACAACAAAATCACTTCTTTTTTTGAATATACAATTCCGATGTTAATTCATTTAAAACATACATTAGATTGAAAATACTTAACAAATACTTAACAATGCGGAGTCCCTGACTTTTTTTCATCACGAATTTGGGAGGGGCTTTAACTCTCCCGCTTCTCTCCAGGTGGCGCACCCGCCTGGTTGTTTCAGATTCATTCACTTTCCTCTCACTCGGAGGTGCTGTTGATTTTAAAGCGTGAGCTAGCTTACAATCCAGAAAAAAGAAAACAATTCATTACGAGTTCGAGATTTTTCGAAGTACTGGACTAATCGAAAAAGTTGATCAACGTTTTGCAATGATAACTGTGGAAGACAACATAACAAAGCGTCCACATTTTCGGTTGAAAGTTGATCTTTCTAAGTTTTTCTATGATGCACGTCGGTCTTGCTGGATCTTCGTCGATGGAATGAAAATTCAGCAGGTTAATCATTTGAAGCAACATATTAGTAAACTGTTCAATATTGCGGAACCATTCCATTTGTTGCTGAATGACACCGAATATCTGCCGCCAATAGAGGATGTGAGAATACTTAAAGAGAATGAGACAATTCTGTTAGTATCTTAAATTGTATTTTAAATTGTGTTTTATTAACGTTTTGATATTTATTTAGAATACGATCTTCACCTCTGATTTTGATAAAATTAGGCTCATTCGATGCGTTTTTGCACGAAACAAAAGAATCTGTGAGAAAAAAAGTTAGGTTGGTTCCGCGAACCGAGATATTAAGCGTTAAAATTGATGACTATTGAGGTTATGAAATCTGTCATAGGCTACGATTACACCACGGTATATACAGTAGCGCAACTCTCTTGATTTTATGTTGGCCAAAATGGAGTGCGCATGCGCGAAATAAGTAAGTCGCTCAGTAACGCCATTTAAACTTCTATCTCAATTCTTCCTTTTTTCATACTCTCTTTCAAGGCCATTTAAATGTCAAGTAGCTGAAATACGAATCAGAAAAAGAGATAGAAGAAAAGAAAATCATGATTAGTTTAGTTTAATTAGTTTAATTTAGTTTATTGCGAAGCTTTATGAGAAAGACTACATATTAACAGAGTAATAAACATAAAATATGATACATGGACTATAGACATAACATAAAATAAAATACAATAGTCTCCGCTTGAAGTGGAAAGCATAGACTCTTGCATAGCGCATAATACATAAGAAAATGTACCAATCAAAGTCCTTCGTTTCCTTCCTTATATGAAATAAATAACTCTGATTGGATTTCTTATGTCTCATGTGTTATGCATTATGCAAGAGTCTGTGCTCCTCGCTTGACTCTGCATATTTTAGACGATGCATAACAGCGTTTAATTAATTATATGTAGTTTTATTAATACTTTGATAAATTATAGAGTAGTTCCTGGATCTGGAATAAGTAACGAAGCTCTGGCTGTTGTAGAAACTAACCATGTTTCTATACTTGATAAGCAGGCCCTGCATACAGCAACAAATATTAAAACAGGAAAACAGGAAATAGTTGCACAAAATACATTTAACGATACCTTGAATAATACACAACCAGCTTCAATAAGTTTGTAATTTGTTTTATTTATGCTGTATATGTAAAAATAAATGAAGAAAAATGAAATTTTTCTTTTATAACAATTAATCGTTTTCATTTCAGATAATACCACAAAAGATATGCCATTCTATAGTATAATCAGTGATACAGTAGTCAATTGTAGTGAAGAGGATACAGATTCTAAAACTACTACAGATAATTTAACAAAGAATTGTAACATGATAGATTCGATTGTATCCATTACAAAAAGGAAAAGAGTGCGAAAACGAAAATCAAAAAATCAATCTCAGTTCATTGTATCGCCTTTTGATAGAATTGAAGAAAACATATCAAAAGAGTTAAAGTTAAAGAAACCAAAAATAATACATTCCTATATTATTCCATCGGGAAAACATATACGATTTGATGATATAGAAAATGATGAACACAATATTGCAAGACAAATAGCAGTACAAGAAGCATCTAGAAATCATTCTTACTTAAATGAAACATCGTCTTCTAAAGATCTTTCTACACTTTTAGCATTAGGACAAAGCTCAACGCCAATAACCTTTGTAAATAAAAAATTAAAAAACGATGTTAAAACGGAAAATGTATTAAATGATGAGATAAAAAGCAAAAATTTAAACAAAATTATGGAAGATAGTACAGAAAAAAATTTATGTAATAAAGAATCTAAGAACGAAATACAAAGTTACAAAAATTTGTATACTGATCTAGAAAAGCTTCCAATAATGACTAGAAAACCGCAAGTTAATGATATTATTGCTTTCAAAGTATGTATCTCTATATCTATATCTATTATATTTTAAAATTAACTGTATTTTTTTTCTAAACAGTATTAAGTTTCAGACTTTAAAGATTGGTACAGATTACACGCCTCAGGTGTCTAATTCTGTTTTGGCTGAAGTAGTAGCTTGCGTACAGGGAAATTATACTCTTCAAATACTCCGTAAGTAACATTAGCTGGTATTCATAGTCCATTTTTTTCTTATTATAAGGTCGTTTTGAGTAATATCTTAAGATGCTATTCTTTAAGACATAAATCATAAGACAGTTCTTGTGCGTTATCAAAGACATAAGACTTAACTCGTAAGACACTTTCTTAAAATTATAAGTCAGCCTTTCTGCTACAGCTCTTAAATATCAAACATTTATTCTATCTCACTTTAAGTTTCAAAAATGTATTAGTTATTACTCATATTAGTATCCATATAAATAAATACTGACTTGTAAATATCACTGTGTACATTTTTAATTATATATTCGAAAAGAAATTTCTTATTTACAGATGGTAAAGAGGAAATTCAGGAAGTGCCATTCGGAAAGTTCTCTCTCTTAGACGAAGAATCTAAAAGTCAACCTGATGGAGAAACACTTATACTTGATTATTCACAGATGATAGAACCACGCTTAATTTAGTAAACCTCTGTTTTATGAATATTTGTTCCTATATTTTATTTTCATTCTGTTTAAAACGCAATTGTGTATTTATTTTAACTTTTTTATCTATATAATTTTCTATGCATTCAGAATTGTGTACGCGTTCAGATTAAATATTTGACTTTAATACGTTATATTTTTAAAAATATTTAATAATAAACATTTTGACATTTGCGATCTAATTTTATATTAATACTGAGTTCGTGATACAAAAGTTAAGTTGTGAAACTATACATTAGTTCTATAAACTAATGATTTAATAAATATAATATTTATTTATGTGTAAGTAAATTAGCAGTTAATTTTTTTTCATAGTTTTGTTACACATCTTAGAGAGAAAAAATATTGAAATATTAAATAAATATTATTACACATGTCTAGTACGTATAATATAATTTACATACACAAGGTGAGTTTTCCTAGATAAATTCCTATCGAATTACTTTATAAAGTAATAAATTAGTTACGAATTACAAAACTACATAAATTTTTTTGTCATTATTTAGTTTATAATTCGATTCATGCAAATAATTCAATAAATATTTTATTATAATTATAAACTATTTTCGCAAATTAAAAAAGTTTTGTATATATTCAAATTATTATTTTAGTATTGATATATTTCATATTAAACAGATGCACATACAAATATTTTTCTACGAGATCTAAAGAAAAATTTTTAATACTTCCTAATACTAAATTTTTAATTTAAATTTGTTTACTGTAGTAATAGAATTTGAAATTTATTCTAGTAGTATATGTTGGTTCTTATATTCTGATCTGGTTTAAACCCTCGGTGAAAACTAGGTCTATGAGAAATTATTCAACACTGACCAGAATAAGAATTTCAACCTATCAGAAATCATGTATTCCACAATATATGATTTTTGATAGGTTGAAATTCTTATTCTCTGTTCTCTGTTCCTTGTTCCTTTTAAAATTTTTTTCAGAAAGAAATTTTGGAACGTAGCTCTAATATATATCTATCTCATTTTAAGCACCAACGAGATACTAAGACCTAGACAAATTTTCGGTGATATAAAAAGGGCCGCAAAAGCCTGAAGGTAATTGAAAAACGCATTATCGACAATTGATATAAATTTGCTAATATTAAGATAAATATTTGACTACATTGTTAAATTTATGATTTTTTTATTACATAAATGTTCCATAAATAAATATGCATACTATTGTAAAGTTGGAAAGACTTGGAAAGTTATAATATCCTATATATTGCAGAAAAATGTTTTTCTCTGCAGTTATCATCTCTATCGATAATCAAACTTTGATGATAACACTGAAATCATAATTTTAAAGAAAAATCGAGTATTATTGAGTTCTAAATCCATCTACTAATCTAATAAATCATACAATATTCACAAAAACGCGAACTCCCGTAAGGATGAAATCACACGGTGCAGAAAAGGAAAGAACCAATTAGCGCTATTCGGAATAACGCAGAATGACTATGATTGGTTGCTTCTATGACGCATTCTCTATTCCGCAGTCATTTTCCGCACCGTGTGATTTCACCCTAAGGATGTCGGTCTTTAATAAATACAATAGTATCTCGTCAGTGTTTAAGTGTAAAAAGTGTAAGAAAGTGTAAGCAAGTCGAACAGACTGTTTTAATACTATTTTGAGAATCAGCATGAAAAGACACCTTTATATTCTTATACCACGGATTTCACATGTAAAAGTACCTTTAAATTCGTCTCTTCGTTGGATTTTCATGATTTTCGGCCGCGAGGTTGCGGCATGCGGTGTGTTATCGACGACTTTAGTGATTGTTGACGTACATACATATCAATTTTAACTGATCATTCCGCCCGCACGATTCAACGAGCGAACAAGGGATCTTTTTGAGCCGAGGTGAGTCGCGTAACCAATGTGTCTATGACTCGATGCAAGCTCCTTGTAGTTCCCATCTCGTTGAGGGGATAGCAATGGCTGCA